CCCGAGCATCTATGTTGTTGCCGTTCTCGTGTCCTTTTTCGACGACCTGAGCAGCCGAGAGGTCGCGAGAAAAGTGAGGCTCGGAGGCGGGTCGAGCGGAGGACGTCCGCTGCCGAGCACCTATGTTGTTGCCGTTCTCGTGTCCTTTCTCGACGACCTGAGCAGCCGAGAGAGGTCGCGAGAAAAGTGAGGCCCGGAGGCGGGTCGAGCGGAGGACCTCCGCAAGCGCCCCGCTGCTGCGGCCAGGCGGAGCAGGCCCAGCACTCATGGGGGAACAAAAAGTGTCATAAACATATATATATATATATATAATAAAAATAAAAGAAAAAAAACAAAAAAACAAAAAAATCGGAGGTCCGCGCGGACTTCTCGGATCGCCGCTGGGGCCCCCCGGCGGCGCCTCCGGCGCCGCCCCCGGCGCGCTCCGCGCGCCAGGGAGGCGGGTCCGGCGCCGATCCGAGACATCCGCGCGGACCTCCGAGTTTTTTGTATGCTTGTGCCACTTCTTGTCCCCCTGACCTGGCGGCGCGCACAAGGGGGTGGGGGGAGGGGGGAGGGCTCCTTAGAAGCAGGCTGCTTCTTAGAAGGCGCCGGCCTTGCAGCTATAGAGAAGGCCCGCGCCTTCTAAGAAGCAGGGGTGCTTCTAGGAAGCCCTCCCCCCTCCCCCCACCCCCCTCTGCGCGTGGCTGCCTCACTCAGATGCCGTCCTCCATCTTCGTCGTCAGGGCCGGCTCGTGCACGCTTCGGGGGCTGCCAGGAGCGGCCCTGGCCCGCGGCGGTGCCCCCGGCTCTCCGAGGCCGGCCGGGGAGCCCCATATGGGCCCCCTCCCGGGCCTCGGGGCGGGGCCAGCGGGGGCCTCACCGGAAATGCTGGAGGCACTCTCCAGACATCCGCTGCCTTGATTGTTGAAGGGGCTCTGAGACACACAAATACATAATTATACACACACACACAAATGAAAGGACTCCCCAGATGTTCCCATGTTTCCGGAGTCTCTGTCTTCCTTCCCGCACTTCCCATATGTTTCCAAATTTTCTGGGGAATCGACGATGAATTGTGTCTGTGTGTTTTTTCCCCTCCTGAACTTTTTCAGTATGGGCTCCACAGAAATCACTGCCACCAGGCCCAGCGAGGGCCCCCAGAGGCCCGAAAAGTGGCAAAAACCTCCCGCCGTGTTCTGCTTTGTTCACGACGCGAACACGTCCAGGTCGTGGGCGTCCGAAATGGGCATGGAAAAAATGGATACGATACCCAACAACAAATGTTGTCCAAAACCGACAATGACCGCTGTTGGGCAGGCACTGCTGTGTCTCGAATGGGCACTGACCGGCGATGCCGACAACGAATCCGGTTCAGAATGAACAAGACATGCGGCTGGACTCTGCATCCACTATTGTTTCCGTACCTCTCTAGAGGACTCCTAGATGGGGTCGGAGTAGATGGGGTCGGAGGATCGCGCAGCATCGCCGATACTTCGGCGATGCATCGGCGATGCATCGGCGATGCTGCATCAATGCATCGTCGACGTTGGCGATGCATCGGCGACGTCGAAGCAAATCGGACTCCGCATCGAGCCGCATCGGCGATGCATCGGCGATGCGGCGCGATCCTCCGACCGCATCCACTACGACCCCATCTGCGGAGGCCTAGACTCTCTCGGTTCCCCCGCAAGCTTGAGAGCCAAGGACACCACTCGCATCCCTAGGGGAGCGAGGCATGACAGAAACGGGAAAACTCGGAGGCCCGCGCGGACTTCTCGGATCGGCGCTGGACCCCCTCCTTGGCGCGCGGAGCGCGCCAGGGGCGGCGCTGGAGGCCCCGCCGGGGGGGTCCCAGCGCGGACCCGAGACATCCGCGCGCAGCGCGCTTCTTCTTGTTATTATTATTGCTATTATTATTACTAGTATTATTATCATTTGCATTATTAATAGTATTATTATTCGTAGTATTATTAGTATTATTATTAATATTATTATTAATAGTATGATTATTATTATTATCATCATTGTTATTATTATTATTAGTATTATTATTATTATTACTATTAATAGTCTTATTATTCTTATTATTATTATTCTTCTTCTTCTTCGACGAATGCTTGAGCCAGGGACACCCTTGGCAGCACCCGAATGGCCGATCCGCGCGCCCCCGCGTCCCCCCCGGGCCGGATGGGGGCGCCCTCCCACAGCTGCGGCAGCTCGCCGCGCAGGAGCGCGGCGACGAAGCCCGTGCCGAGGGTGCCCGGCACCAGGTAGAGCAGGGCCGGCTGCCCCAGCCGCATCACCACCAGGGCCACGACGGCCGAGGGGCAACAAAACGCCATGAACAGGATTCCTCCTCCTCCTCCTCCCCCTCCTCCTCCCTCCTCCTCCTCCTCCCTCCTCCTTCTCCTCCTCCCCCTCCTCCTCCTCCTCCCTCCTCCTCCCTCCTCCTCCTCCTCCCTCCTCCTCCTCCTCCTCCTCCTCCTCCCTCCTCCTCCTCCTCCTCCTCCTCCTCCTCTGACCCCCAAAAAAACCTCCCTCACCCTTCGGGAGGGGACCTGCTTCAGTTACGTAGGCGGGCCGGAAGACATCAGGGATACGGGGGTCTTGTTCTGCAGATGTTTCGAGCCAAAGACCGCCCAGATCGATGATCCCTAATGCAAAGACGGGGCCCTCGGTGAGGCCACGTCTTCACGCTATTGTTAGGGCTAGGGGGTCCTCATCCTCCATGAAAGCATCAACCTTCGGGGGTTCGCGCAGATCTCTTGCATTGGGACGCACAAGGACATACTAATACCATCACTGGCTGCCCTGGAGGCGTGCGCCTGACCCGGGCATATAGCAGAACCATACTGCAGTACACCGTTTCCCGAGCGGCATGGCCAGAAAGAGCTCGGCACGGAGGTTCCACTAGAAGAGTTCTCGGCGCGCGCGTCGACCATGGGGGGTCGACGCACACATAGTATCATCGGGGATGGACAGAACCCCTTTCGTAGAACGTGGCTTAGTGAAAACGCCCTCGGGCCCAAACCTGGCGAGCGCAAGCCTGGAAGATGACGGCCGCGACGCCCTCTCGAGAACCGAAAACGGACAGTTCGCTAATCGACGTGTCTGGGTGGGGGTTCTGTCCACCCCCGATATCAGTATGTTGGGGTGACGTCGATGCATCGGCGCTGGCCCCCCCTGCCTGGCGCACGGAGCGCGCCCAGGGAGGCGCCGGAGACGCCGCCCGGGGGCCTGAGCTCAGGTCGGGCACGTCCCCCTACAGGCGGATCTTGGGCGGAAAATAAAGGAAGGGCCAACAATACCCCCAAAGGGTCAGAAAGGCCCTGAAATCGTCCCCAGAGTATTTGTTGGACCACTTTGGAAGAACCCTCCTGTAATTAGAGGGACAGGCCCGACTCGAGCCTGCTCGCCGACGATCCAAGAGAGACCCCCGCGAACCGTGGGGAGCCCATGCTTCTGTCGTTTGTTGCCCCTCGCATGGTGCAGCAGAGGCCCACGAAGTAGCCGACGAGCCCGGGCAGGAAGTAGCCCTGGCAGACGCCCCGCTTGCTGAGCACGTCGTGGCGCCGGTAGTACGAGACGAGCAGGCCTCGCGCGGAGGAGAGGGTTGGGTGCCGATGCTGCTGTGCTGCCCTGCCCTCGTCGCCACGGCTGGACTCGCCTCGAGATCCTGATGAGAACGCACCGCCGGAGAGGTCCAGGGAGTGGCGGTGCAGATGGGCGCACGGCTGCTTCCCCCCGACCTGGCAGCACGATGTCTCCGAACCCGAGCATGCGGTAGCCCCCGAGGGGGTCACCGAACGAGGGGATCCTCAGCAGCATCGGCACCGCTTCGCCGGTGTCGCCGCCCTTCGCCACGCGAATCATGACGCTCTCCTGGAAGATCAGGGGGGACACGAAGACCCAGAATATGTCGAAGAAGAACATCATCCCGAGCAGGAGGGAGGCGATCTTCATGTTGGGCAGGCGCAGGGTCCGCTGCACCCAGCACAGGAAGGCCGCCGCGATGATGTCCTGGAAGATCCAGCCCAGATCCCCATTGCGAGTGATCACCCAGCTGATGACCAACGACAAAGCCGGCACGAACGCGATGATGTCGGCCCTCTCAGAGGAACAGCGCAAATTTTGCTTCGGACGATCCCGACCCGAGAACGCGAGGCGGGATCCCCAGGTGAGCGGTTTTTTGTTCGGCGTTTCGACATTGGGCGGAAGGGGGGGAGGGGGGGTCTGGCTCAAGACCTCTGCTTAGTGCGACTGTTTGCGGGCAGCAGTGTTGCCTGTGAGGGGAGACTCCACCCGCTCGAAACCGGCGCCCAAAACAGCCAAGATCTACTCCATGGGGTGGGGGGGGGGGCCCGCGCCGATCTTGAGCACCCGAGATATCCGGGATAACTCGGGCCAGGGGTATCTCGGGCTTGGATTCCCGCAAAAACGAACCCGAGTTAGCCCTGACCCGAGTTGCCCCTGATGATTTGGGGCTCTGGACGCCCGAGTTATCCAGGGTAACTCGGGCCAGGGGTAACTCGGGCTCGGATTCCCGAAAAACGAACCCGAGTTAGCCCTGACCCGAGTTACCCCTGACGATTCGGGGCTCTGACGATCGGCAAAGCAAGGAATCAAAAAGCGATCCCCGGGGAGCCAAAGAGCCCCGCTGCGTGCAGTCGTCGGTCGTCGAGGACGGGAGGCGGGAAGCCCCGGGAGCCCCTCGGGCCCCTCGGGCCCCGGCGGCCGCGGCACGAGGGGTGTGCGCGAGGCGGGTCGAGGGCTGTGTGGTTTCCGACTTCCCCGGGCTGACGGGCGTAACCAGCCTCGGACAGATCCCTATCCCTGAGACGGGTGAGCAAGAAGCGAGGACGATCTTGGGGATAGGCCCTCAGAAACTGAGGGAATCCTCAAGATCGGCATCGAGGTGAGGTGACGTCAAACAGTAGGGACAGGGATATGTCTCGAACTGCTAAAGGTGGCGATGTCTTGTTGTCTGTTTTTTGTCGTGAGCGCTTTTTTTTCGGCGT